CAGTGTGCAGCAGCAGTTAAAAAAGCAAACAGGATGTTAGGAATCATTCAAAAAGGGATAGAGAATAAGATGGAGAATATCTTATTGCCCTTATATAAATCCATGGTATGCCCACATCTTGAATACTGCATACAGAGGTGGTCTCCCCATCTCAAAAAAGATATACTGGCATTAGAAAAAGTTCAGAAAAGAGCAATTAAAATGATTAAGGGTTTGGAACGGGTCCCATATGAGGCGAGATTGACGAGGCTAAGACTTTTCAGCTTGGAAAAGAGGAGACTAAAGGGAGGATATGACAGAGGTATATAAAATCATGAGCGGTGTGGAGAAAGTGAATAAGGAAAAGTTATTTACTTGTTCCCATAATATAAGAACTAGGGGCCATCAAATGAAATAAATGGGCAGCAGGTTTAAAATAAATAAAAGGAAGTTCTTCTTCACACAGCACACAATCAACCTGTGGAACTCCTTGCCCGAGGAGGGTGTGAAGGCTAGTACTATAACAGGGTTTAAAAGAGAATGAAATAAATTCATGGAGGTTAAGTCCATTAATGGCTATTAGCCAGGATGGGTAAGGAATGGTGTCCCTAGCCTCTGTTTGTCAGAGGGTGGAGATGGATGGCAGGAGAGAGATCATTTGATCATTACCGTTAGGTTCCACTCCCTCTGGGGCACCTGGCATTGGCCACTGTTGGTAGGCAGGATACTGGGCTAGATGGACTTTTGGTCTGACCCAGTATGGCCGTTCTTATGTTCGGCTGTCAATTACAGCTAACACAAGCGATTAACATAAAACAAATTAACTAGATTTAAAAAGTAGTCACGATTAATCACAGTTTTAATCACACTGTTAAATAATAGAATACCAATTTAAATTTATTATAAATATTTTTGTTTTTTTTCTAAATTTTCAAATATATTGTTTTTAATTATAACAGAATACAAAGTGTACAGTGCTCATTTTATATTATTTTTATTACAAATATTTGCAGTATAAAAATGATAAACAAAAGTAATAGTATAGATAAACAAGTACTGTAGTGCAATCTCTTTATCATGAAAGGGCAACTTACAAATGTAGAATTATTTTTGTACATAACTGCACACAAAAACAAAACAAGGTAAAACTTTAGAGCCTACAAGTCCACTCAGTCCTACTTCTTGCTCAGTCAATCGTTAAGACAAACTAGTTTTTTTACACTTATGGGAGATAATACTGCCTGCTTCTTATTTACAATGACACCTGAAAGTGGGAACAGGTGTTCACAGGCACTGTTGTAGCCTGTGTTGCAAGGTATTTACATGCCAGATATGCTAAATATTCATATGCCCCTTCATGCTTCGTCCTGTACTCTGTTATAATGGTTATCAATATATTTGAAAATGTAGAAAAATATCAAAAAATATTAACAATAAATTTAAACTGGTATTCTATTATTGTTTAACAGTGTGATTAAAACAGTGATCAATCGTGACTATTTTTTTAATCTCACGATTGCTTGCAATTATATTTTAAAATTGTTTGACAGCCCTAATATTTTACTATTAGAAAGAGACAAAGAGTCCTATGGCACCTTATAGACTAACAGACGTATTGGAGCATAAGCTTTTGTGGGTGAATACCCACTTCGTCAGATGCATCTAGTGGAAATTTCCAGAGGCAGGTATAAATATACAGGCAAGAATCAGCCTAGAAATAACAAGCTTAGTTCAATCAGGGAGGATGATGCCCTCTTCTAGCAGTTTAAAAAGAGTGGACTTTCATATTTAAGTATTGTAGATTGTGTTGCTCTGAAACTCTGACAAACGTGGGCATATGTGAATGGTGCAATTTCACCAACATCAAGTATTCCCATTCACACAGTGGTGCTATTAAAGCACTCCCCAGCCATGCAATTGGAATGGCCTGAAATTATACTGTGATAGAATAAAGCAAATAGTATGTACCTCATAATAGCACCCTGGAACTCCCATATTCACCACTGTGATATGATTATGATATGTTTTGTACTAAATATGCCTTGTGAGGTATCATTTAAAAAGTCTTGATCTGTTGAACATTAATATCCTGTTAAATTGTATGTACTATCATTGTATGTGAAGTTATTAAGTAGTGCTGTACGTTTGTTACTGAAATATATAGTAAGTGGAAATACCCACAGCTAGCTGTTCATTGGCAACAAAGGAGAAACTAACATCAACAAGACAGATTTACATCAGGACCAGAATTCACTCTCCCAGAGACTCCTCAGAGAGGGCATGTACATAATGGGGGCTACCTAGCCTCCACATCACAGCAAGACTCTTTCTAGCACTTGGAGAGAATGTATAAGGCTGATGACATCAACACTTGGCCTCTCTCCTTCCCCACCTCAACACCTTGAATTGTTTGGAAGACAAAAATTTTGAAGTGGGGAGATTGATCCCAGGCTGAGAAGGGAACTCAGCCTGTGTATTAACTGTAAACTGCCTGCAACATCCAGTGGAGTGAGGAAAGCTGTTTGATTCAAATCTTGCTTAGTCTGTTAAAGTTAGACTTTAGACCGTGATCCTATTTTTATTTCTTATGTAACCATCTTTGACCTCCGTGCCCAGCATATATAATCACTTAAAACCTATCTTTCTGTAGTTGTTAAACTTATTTTAATGTTATATCCTTACCAGTGAGTTTGTCTAAAGTGCTTGGGGAATCTGCTCAGACTACAAAGGCTGGCACATGTGCATTTTCCTTTGACAAAGTGGTGAACTAATTAATGACCTTCCACTGTTCAAGAGAAGGTCTTGAGCAGTGTCAGACAGGACATCACTGGGGTGCAAGGCTGGGGAGATTTGCTAGTGTCTCTCTCTGTATACTTCATGAGTGGCTTATGGAGCATTCATGCAACTTAGCTGAGTGTGTCCCTGCCTGTTGTTGGCTGAGTGATCACAGCACCTGGAGGGGTTTGTTGCTTGTCACTAGCACAGCAATGTAAGAGACAGCGCAGGGAATAGAATAAAGGGGGCAAAGCAGTCCCATAGTTCCAGATGGTACCCCGGGGATATGTCATGCACATACAATGGGGCTATTGAATTTGGTGAAAATACTCTATGTCACATAAGAAAGATGTCTGAATGGAAAAAAAATCCATTTTAATATAGGGGACACTCTTACAATTTCTTCTGATACCACATGGCAACTCTTAAAAGTTCATCTAAGGAGACTGTAATGCAATGCACCGAATGACCAGAAGGGATTGGATACAATCTAGTGGATAGGTCACTGAACAGGGATGTAAGAAATGTGTTTAATTCAGATTTCCTGTGTAACTTTAGGCAAGTCACTTAATCTGCCCTCAGTTCTCTGTCTGTAAAATGTGGCTGTCTCAGAGGTGTTGTGAGCCATTAATGATTGTGAGATGCCTAGCTATTATGCTGATGGAGCCATATGAGTACCTAGCTAGATACATGAGACTGAGAAGACCCTTGGGCCCAACTAAGGTTCTGTAGTGCACACAAGAATGGTGACTGTTTACTCCTGATACTGATACTGGTAAAAGTATGTCACCTTATAACACATGTATTTATGCTGCACAACACAGCACAAGGCAGAAATGTATCTGTACTTAAAAAGAGAGGTGAAGCACCTGAGAATAACCATGTCCTTAATCCAAGCAAAAACATCTGTAAAATACTCTTTGCACATGGCTCATGTAATCCAACAATTTTTAACTGATTGGCCTTTGGCCTGATATTTGCTCCATTCAACTATATGTTCACCACAATCATCTGGGTACATGTGCCTTTATACTCACAAAGCTATTAGCAGTAGCATACAGTACATTGTCTGAAATCAGCTGTGTCTACCAGAAATAATTTAATCATAGAATATCAGGGTTGGAAGGGACCTCAGGAAGTTATCTAGTCCAACCCCCTGCTCAAAGCAGAACCAATCCCCAACTAAATCATCCCAGCCAGGGCTCTGTCAAGCCTGACCTTAAAAACCGATAAGGAAGAAGATTCCACCACCTCCCTAGGTAACCCATTCCAATGCTTCACCACCCTCCTAGTGAAAAAGTTTTTTCCTAATATCCAACCGAAACCTCCCCCACTGCAAGTTGAGACCATTACTCCTTGTTCTGTCATCTGGTGCCACTGAGAACAGTCTAGATCCACCCTCTTTGGAACCCCTTTTCAGGTAGTTGAAAGCAGCTATCTAATCCCCCCTCATTCTTCTCTTCTGCAGACTAAATAATCTCAGTTCCCTCAGCCTCTCCTCATAAATCATGTGCTCCAGCCCCCTAAATCAATTTTGTTGCCCTCCGCTGGACTCTTTCCAATTTTTCCACATCCTTCTTATAGTGTGGGGCCCAAAACTGGACACAGTACTCCAGATAAGGCCTCACCAATGCCAAATAAAGGGGAATGATCACATCCCTCGATCTGCTGGCAATGCTCCTACTTATACAGCCCAAAATACCGTTCGCCTTCTTGGCAACAAGGGCACACTTGACTCATATCCAGCTTCTTGTCCACTGTAACCCATAGGTTACAGTGGACCAGAAGTTTTGAAAGACAGGAGGCTACTGATTGGAAACACTTTTTTATTTTCAACTACCGTAAAAATTGTAGGTTTAGGAAGATATTCTGTATTGCAGAGGTAGCTTAATGTTCCATCCACTGAGTAGGATGTATGCAACTTCCCATTCTGTAGAAATAATGGGCAATATCCAAAGGGTCTTGCAATAGTGTAGAAGCCCCAGTTTTTGTTTGTCTTACATCACTGGTGTGAAACTTCTATCATTTATTTGAATAGTGCATTTGAATTGCTTCTATTGCTACCATTTGCTGCCTCCACAGGAGTCAACAGCTCAGTTCCCATGGTGCTGTGTACTTTCTTTAAAAAGGTTGCATACATACAGTATCACATGTTTCTGTGGTTGCTAAGGTAATGAAAGTACTTGTTTTTTACAAAATGGTTGAGATTGAAAAATAGGGACATAAAGCAAAGAGAAAAAGCTGTAGAATAAGGACTGTGGTAGATTTTTTAAATCTTTTTAAATAAGTAGGGGCATTTTGTAATTGATTTTTCATTTGATGTACTTCTTTTCTGTTCAAATATTATTGACTTCTATACACACTATTGTTGGTATAAAGGCAATGTACTGTACACAACATCTTTGTCTAATACAGAGGTTTTATATGTTCAACTAGTGCCAGTTAAATACAAAACAAATCAGTGGCATATCAGAGCAAATGTAATATTGTATTTTTCACTATATTATTGTTATGCATCATATTGAATATTCACCCCATTCTCCATTTATCCCTTTGTTACTGTTTTTATTGAACAACAACAATATGCTTCAGCCTGTACAAGAGAAAGACAAATGTTCAGTCCTGCACCAAAGAGCCAACAATTTAAAGACCAAATGCTTCCTCCACTCTCAGGAGAGGTGGGGAGCATAAAGATTCTTATAATTGGAATGTCATTTACAGAGGGTAAAACCTATATAGAAGAGGGAGAGAAGGACAAAGGGCTGGAAAGGTTGTGATATATCAGTTACAAGTGTTAACAATGGTGAGGAGCTATTGTCTGACAAGGAAGAAATGAGAAGTTCTTTAGATAAAGAATGAAAACCAAAGTAGAAACAATTATGGGCACCTCCTACTGACCACAAGGAAAAGAAGAGAATATGAATGACAGCTTACTGGAACTACTTCTAGGGTGCTCTGAGCCACAAGATACTGAACTTATTGATAATTTGAACTATCTACATGTATATTTAGTAATAAATACAACTGAAAAAGCAACTTTAAAAAGTTAGACATTACCTATAAAGCAATTTATGTTCCAGAAAGCAGAGAAACCCCAACCAAAATGAGAATTCATCTTGAATCAGCTTCTTACAGATAGGAAAGCACTTACTGTATATGTGTGAATAATGGGGAAGCTTGGAACAAATGATTACAAGCTATTGGTATTTAGCATACTCAGAAATGGCAATATAGAATGCTGCAGTGAAAGGAAGTTATAATTCAGTAAAGCTAGTTTGGGGACTAATTAAACCTATTAGTGGGGGTCAATAGGAAAAGTATTAAAATCCATCAGTGTAAAAGAAGGTTTGGGAGTCAGAAAAAGAAAACACTGGGGCAGGTTCTCTCTTTTTCCTCTGTCTACTTTGTGGCAATCACTGAAAATTATTTTGGACAGGTCTATGACAAGTGAGTGAGTATCTACTAGAAGACTGGAAGAAAGCAAAACTCATACTGATCTTCAGAAAAGAAAAGAAGAGCGATCCTGCCAATTATATCCCATAAAATAACATTAACAGATGACCATAGTTGTTTCTCCTGTGGTTTTCATGCTTTGTAACCTCTCTGCCTCTCCAGCTCCTGGAGCTTTGCAGCAGGTTGGGAGTGGAGCACCAGGATCATGTAGGATCAAATGATGGGAGGTAGTCTCCTTGCTCACAATTCCAAGCCTGCCTTTCCAGCCAGCATTCTGACCATAAAGCCCTCTCTGAGGGCCACACTACAAGTGCTTCACCTGCTTTCTGGTTCATTTTTTACCCACACACAGACAGACAGATACAACAAAATCTATAACATTATATTGACCTAATTTACGTTGGCATAGAGCCACTGCAGTTATTAAATTGCTTGTGTGTGTGCACAACTGGCTCCTTGTGTTGGCAGTGCATGTCCTCACTAGGAGCACTTGTATTGATCATATTGTCAGTATGGGTCATAGTGAGATGGTTCTTGAAAACCAGTAACAGTCAATGTAAGCAACGCAGTGTCTACATTGACACTGGGTCGACCTAATTACATCGACCATGATTCTATGCCAGTCGGAGAGGTGGTGTTACTAAATCAGCAGAGAGAGGCACTTACATTGAAGGCAGCCAAATTTAAGTGAAGAAACTTTCACAGCTAAGTCGACACAAGGCAGATTACATCAACCTAGCCCTGTAGTGTAGACCAGGCCTCAATCCCCAACTCCTGCACTTGCATTCAATCCACAGGCACCGACTTCCCAAACTGCCGGGGGATGCTTGACCTCCATCTCTATCCCAGGCCCAGTCCCCCACGCCACCCCTTCCCCCAAGGCCCCACCCCGCCCTGCCTCTTCCTGTCCCCATCCCACCCCTGCCCCACCTCTTCCCATCCAGTTCCACCCCATCCCCCGACGCACCGCATATTCGCTTCTCCCCCCTCCCTCCCAGCCTCCTGCATGCCGCAAAACAGCTGATTGCGGCAGGCAGGAGGCGCAGGGAGGGGAAAGGAGGTGATCTGCGGGGCCCACCGGCAGGTGGGAGGCAGTGGGAGGGGGAAAGAGGGAGCTGATAGGGGGATTTTTTCCCCTGTGGGTGCTCCAGCCCCAGAGCACCCACAGAGTTGGTGCCTATGATTCAATCTATTCTTTGGACAGAGGCTTCCATTGGTTCAGCTATCACTAAACAAATAACTGAATGGAAAGTGGCTAGCACGCACATCCATCTGCTTTATCAAGGTCTGTGCGTGCCTATAGATCAAAGATAACATCCAAATTTCAGCATAACAATATATTTTAGAAGCTTAATGCCACTCATGAGCTACAGACAGCACTGATCTCCAAATGAGAGACTGTGCCTTGCTATATTTGAACAGATAGAAGTAACATGGACACTGAAACTGTCATCTTTACCCAAACAATTACATTTCCTGGCCAGACATAAGAATCTGCTTTGGGGCAGGTTGCCTATTGAGAGGTATACAGAATTTTTTTTGGCAGAAAAGTGCTATAACTTTTGAAATAAACCAGCAGTTCTCAAACTTTAGTAACCCGAGGACCCCCATTCTGATTTAAAATGGAGGACCCCCAAGCTCCCCATTCAGCCCCAGGCCCTGCCCCCACTTCACCTCTTCCCACTCCCGCTCCACCCCTGCCTCTTTTCGCCCCCTTCCCCAAGTGCCCCTGTTCCCCCTGTTCCCCCTCTCTCCCTGAACCTCCTGCACGCTGGGGAACAGCTGTTCTGTGGTGTGTAGGAGGCACTGGGAGGGAGGGCGAAAAGTTGATCAGTGGGGCTGGTGGCTCTGGACATGATTCTGTCCCCTCCCCTGAGCACGCCTCGTCCCCGCTCCTCTCCCTCCCTCTCAGTGCCTCCTGCAGACTGGAGGCGCTGGGAGGGAGGGAGAGGAGTTGATCAGCGGGGCCCGCGGACCCCCCGGTGTACCCTCGGGGACCTCCAGGGTTGCAGACCCCAGTTTGAGAAATGCTGAAATAAACACATCTAGGTCTGTTCAAGTACTTCATGTCTGATGGAGAGATTTCTCCTATGTATGGAGATTGAGTTGCATGAGCGTTAATAAGCCAAAAGACTAGTGAACATACCAAAGTATTATAAGCTGCTAAATATGTTTTCCATACTTCTCTGTATAGGATTTGTATCTTTGTACAAGCATTTTGCTAATGGAAAGTTATCTCCATAAATTAAAAATATATTGATCTCCTTTCCACTGATTCTAAGCAAGCCCTGGATGATTATAAGAACATAAGAATGGCCATACTGGGTCAGACTAATGGTCCACCTATACCACTATCCTATCTTCTGACAATGCTTGTTGTCAGATGCTTCAGAGGGAATAAACAACATAATTTATCAAGTGATCCATTCCCTGTCATCCAGTCCCAGCTTCTGGCTGTCAGAGGTCTAAGGATACCCAGAGCATGGGGTTGCATCCCTGATCATCTTGGCTACCCACTGATGGACGTCCCCTCCATGAACTTATCTAAGGCCATGTCTATACTACCATTTATGTCGGCAAAACTTATGTGGCTCAGGGGGTGAAAAAACATATATGAGAGACCTTACAGCAGCGCAGCTGCATCAGTACAGCAGTGCCACTGTAAGTTCTCTAGTGTAGACATAGTCTAATTCTTTTTTTAACCCAGTTATACTTTTGGTCTTCACAACATCCCTGGCAACAAGTTCCACAGGTTGACTGTTTATTGTATGAAGTAGTACTTCCTTATGTTTGTTTTAAACCCGCTGGCTCTTAATTTCATTGGGTGACCCCTAGTTCGTGTGTTATGCAAAGAGCAAAATAATACTTCCATATTCACTTTCACCACATCATTCATGATTTTATAGACCTTTATCATATCTCCCTTAGTCATTTCTTTTCTAAACTAAACAGTCACAGTCTTTTGAACCTCTCCTCATAGGGAAGCTGTTTCCTACCCCTAATAATTTTTGTTGCTCATCTCTGTACTTTTTCCAATTCTAATATAACTTTTTGAGATGGGGTGACCAGAACTGCACACAGAATTCAAGGTTTGGGCATGCTATTGGTTTATATAGTGGCATTATGATATTTTCTAACACGGTTAGCTATTTTGAATGCTGCTGCACACTGAGCGGATGTTTTCCGAGAGCTATCCACAATGATTTCATGATCTCTTTCTTGAGTGGTAACAGCTAATTTAGACCTCATGATTGTGTATGTACAGTTGGGATTATGTTTTCTCATATTCATTACTCTGCATTTATCAACATTGAATTTCATCTGCCATTTTGTTGCCCAGTCACCCAATTTTGAGAGATCCCTTTGTAACTCTTTGCAGTCAGCTTTGGACTCAACAATCTTGGGTAATTTTGCATCATCTGCAAACTTTGCCACCTCACTGTTTACCCCTTTTTCTAGATCATTTATGAATATGTTTAACAGAACTGGTCTCCGTAACGATCCTTAAGGGACCCTGCTATTTACCTCTGTCCACTATGAAAACTGACCGTTTATTCTTACCCTTTGTTTCCTGTCTTTTAACTAATTACTGATTCATGAGAATCCCTCTTATCCCATGACTGCTTACTTTGCTTAAGAGCCTTTGCTGTGGGACCATGTCAAAGGTTTTCTGCCTTATAACATTTTGTAATAGTAGTCAGAGAGAATATTGGCACTAAAAATGTTTTCAAAGATCACTTGGGCTGTGCTAAAGCCCAAGATGTCCCCTATATTAGTATAATAGTGTAGTGTTAAGTACCATAAATGCTGGTGTGTATATATAAGTGGCTTGGGACGTGACTATACCTAGAAGACTTCACCTCTTCCAACACGATACTGGCACAGTTGTGATCAGCTACGGAACTTGGGCTAACAGACACCCCACCCCCCAACCCCGGATTAAAAGGAAGGCAGCAGATGGCATGGCATTTTCTATAAAGGGTCTTAGATTCTGGAAATGCCTCTCCATCTTGGTCCAGCAGAACCTGTTTTATTAAGGATTAGGGCATCCGCCACAATTTCTCTGAAAGTGCATGTACTCATGTAATTACAAGTGTCCTACCATGTGTAAGAAAGCAGAATTTAATGCTGTAAATGGAAAAATAATTTTGGTGTTTCTCTACTTCTGAGCATTTAACCAGGCAACATTAATTTTTTTTTAAAGTAGTTAGTTTGATATTCAAATATTTTTTGCACATGCAAAATACAAAAGTGTACATTTGGAGCTCTGTGAGTTTGTGTGTAGAATTTACATTGACAAGTTATTCTAGCATAGAATTCTAGATAAAAAAATATCAGGTAGGTTTACTTATTTTGAAAGATTTTATTTGAAATGTTTGATAATCTTTAAAATGCAGAAGATTGGTTTTTAAACTTTGAGGAGGAACCCGGGCCCAATCAGTAAAAATGTTTGTTTCCTCCTTATTTTTGTCTGGCTCTGAGCCTGGTGAAAGTGAAGAGAAATCACAAACAATTATAAAGTTGTGTGTTGGCTTTGAGGAACCCAAACCCTCCCTCTGGCACCTTTAATCCAAAATCATTTATACCCTCCATCATCCATCCTGATGTTCTTCCATCTAAGGTGAGGATTGTTGTGACAATTTTCCATTGTATCATAGTAATGGCTTAGGATCAGGCCCTATGGAATTCAAAGTGAATAAAACAATCTCTGCAAAATTCGATGTGATGGCTACTGATGTTTTGAAAGGAATTTTTAGCAGTGAGCTCATTGTTTTGTAGATTTATGCCATGTTACTTCTTAAACTTCTAAGAAGTATTTCTCTGACTGATTCAGCACTACAAAATCCTATCCTATTCCCTATTACTATGTCCTTTCCATTTATTTCTTTTCCACACTAAATGTGTTAAAATTACTATCTGTTTCTTTAAATTTTCTGTTTCCTTTTTATTTTTAGTGCCATCAATTAAAGCTTACCAAACCCATGTACACTGATAAAATACAAACAATGGGGGAAGAATGGTTATGTAGTTAAGGCATGGGACTGTGAGTCAGGAGACCTGACCTTGGGCACGTCACTCAAGCTGAAATTTTCAAGTGTGCTTGCATAATACAAGTTTGTGATTTGCACACGCACTTTGGAAATTGGCAACCTATTAAAGATGGGCCCTGCATATCCCGTTCCTGTATAATCAGCAGATGTTCAGCAGTAAGGATACATATTATCTACTGATTAATTTACTAATGGTTTATCTTAAAAATTGTGAAATTCCTTAATTCCAGCACACACATCTTCATAATATTACTCCTGCTATCAACAGTAAATACATTAAATAAATAAATAAACGTTGAATTTTCTGGTAATGTGCTATGAAACTAATAGCTCCATGCTTCTTATTTAACACATCTATATTAGTTGTTAATATATATATGTCAAAATATTAATATCACAATAAAATGTACTAAAGATGAGGCTGAGTTGGGGTGGCAGTTTTCAAACAGACCTGACTGAATAATAATTTTAAAATGGCATTAATCAAACTTATTTATTTTTGAAATTGATATTTCTTCACTGTTTATTAGATTAATATATATGTATTAATTATTCACCCAGTTACCAAATGTGGAAAAATATATTGTACTAAGCAAAAATGATTTTTTTTTCTTTTAACTTGTTACGTTATTGTAAGGTGTACGGAAACCTTGTGTTGAAAGCCAAAAAATTGTTGGTAATAAATTGTGATTCTTGTCTCAGAAAGATTAACAGGGAAAACTCCAAGGACTCAAATTCAAAGGCAGACTCTGTACTTCCTGTCTTTTAGATCTTCTAACATGTAAATCGACCGTTACAAACAGGATTAACTATTAGAATTGTATGAGTGAACTCCAACATTCAACCCTGTTCTTTATCCACAGCAAGAGAAGACCAGGTGTCCAGAATCCTAATGCCCTTCTTTTCAGTTTAGGTTTATATGATCCGCATACTAAGCACAAGTCACCATTGTTTTCTAACTTTAATTTATCGGTGGCCTTAAGAACTGGCTATTTTACTGCTAATTGTTCTTTAAATTGTTAGCACAAAGCCCAACAGCAATTGGGACTCTAAACACGCACTTTCATGAAGTACAGTTATTTAAAAAGACCTTAGTTACTTTAATTTTATTTTGCTTTTCAACAGTTTATTTTATCATTAGGGCGTTGGATTTATACTGAGAACATTTCATTTATGAAAAAAGGCAACAATTTTTATTACACAATTAAAACATTGAAATAATTATCTTAATGGTTTAAGCTCATCATTAGTTTCTGAATAAAGCTTTAGAGGCTGAACTAGAATTGGGCTAGAGGTGTGAGAAAGTAGATTCCAAAAGTAACAGTGTTTGTACCACAGGCATGAAATCATTTCTGTACAATTAAAGAATCCTCCTATAAGAAAATATGCAAATCAAACCATCATGTGGTATTTTAGTATATCTCCCTATAAATAAAATGCACATTGACGTAATTATTATATTAAAAAGAACAGGCGTACATGTGGCACCTTCGAGACTAACAAATTTATTAGAGCATAAGCTTTCGTGGGCTACATTCCCAGTCTGAGCCATTACAAACTTTGAATCTATCTCCCCTTGTAAGTATTCTCACACTTCTTATCAAACTGTCTGTACTGGGCTATCTTGATTATCACTTCAAAAGTTTTTTTCACTTACTCAATTGGCCTCTCAGAGTTGGTAAGACAACTCCCACCTGTTCATGCTCTCTGTATGTGTGTATATATATCTCCTCAATATATGTTCCATTCTATATGCATCCGAAGAAGTGGGCTGTAGCTCACGAAAGCTTATGCTCTAATAAATGTATTAGTCTCTAAGGTGCCACAAGTACTCCTATTCTTTTTGCGGATACAGACTAACACGGCTGCTACTCTGAAACCTATTATTATATTAGGCAGCCATTCTACCGTAAACTGTGATCTCATCAGATATCATATGCTAAGGAAGGACAAGGTTGGTCAGTACTTGGTATAGATTTGCCTACAGTGAAAACTCAGGTGCTGATGAAAGTGATATTTATGATTCAGTATGCATCTCTCTTCTCTTGGAGTCAATACTGAACCTGTACCCCCAGCATGGTGCATTTGTAAATAGTCCACATAGTTCTTGTAAGATTAGGCCCAAACATTCTGACCAAATTCCACTTTTTGTATAATTATATTTTACCTACCTAAAATTCCCCATATGGTTTCAGTTGGAAAAATATGGAAAGTATTCTCACTCACCATCCTGGACTGTTGTGTTCTGGACTGTTGATATCTGCTGAATTTCTCCCAAGATGTATTTTCTTGGTGGGCGAAGTAATCTCAATGTATGTGGCTTGCAAAGTGCTTTGGGATCTACCTAGTGGAAAGACAATATATAATAATAATAGTTTGCACTTCTATCTCACTTTGGAACTCAAAGCATTTTACAAATGTGATCGAAGTGGAAAACAACTAGTATTAGTCCCATTTTATGGGTGAGGAAACTGAAGCACAGAAAGGTAAAATGATTTATCCAAAGTCACACTGGAAGCCTGTGGCAAAGCTAGGAATGAAGTCCAGATTTTCTGGGGGGTTCCCAGACCATGCCCACAAGACCATCCTTCTTCAAAAACATAAAGCATTGTCACTATCATCTTGTAATACAGAAATCAACATAGACTGCTTTGACATCAGAAGTAAATTCCTGTTAAATACCTTTTCCTCTTTTAAATATATAACAGTGAATTTAAAAATACGATAATAGTATCTTACATTTATGTTTTGTATATTTTGCTTTTCAACTCAAATGATCCCAAAGTATTTTGCAAACTACGTAATCTGTGTCAGTCAACTCACCCACCACTGAAATGCAGTCGCTTCTAAAGGGCAGCACAGCAGCTGATCAACAACCTGCAGCAACACTGCACATATGTTGAGGATGGGCAGTAAAGACAGTTATTCAGATGAAACTGCATGGAAATTTAAGTGAGCAGAATGTAATTAAGTAAGTCTGACTTTGGCCAAGGTACTCAGAGAACTTTTTAAAATAGTGCGGTAAGGATCTTTACTGTTCAACTGTGGCCAGCAACTTGATTTTACATTTCATTCAAATAACTCCAGCAGCACAGTGGTCACCATAATGAGTGACTGGTTCAGTACTGACTCATAGGAGAGTGCCCCCTACTGAATCAGCAGTACCATTGACTCCAGCACAAAAGGTGCCCTCTTTCAAAGTTTGCCATTCAAATATTGACCATACCAAGCTTATTTTGAGATACCTGCTGTGATCACAGCCTAAGAGAGGATTTAATTATAGGATATAAATCTGACAATTTTCTTTCCTTTGGAAAGGTCTGAGAGGCTGGGGAGAGACTTTTTAAACTGTGTAGTTGAAAAATTATTGGTATTCATCTACATTGTGGCATACTTCATTTTAACTTGTATTCTTTTCAAATGCATGAAGTAAAAGTGCTTATTTGTTCTTGTGTTCAGTTAATTTCTTCAAAACAGGAGCAGTTAAATGATACATAGTTATAAACATTGAGAAAAATAAGCAGAGTACTGAAACTGTACAGAGTTCTTAATTTTCAAGACTCTTCGTTATCAGCCTTTAGAAATTTGACACTGTCATGTGATAGAGTTTTGGCATGGTCATAGAATGTGCACAGTAGTTCTTTTGTTGGTATCTAGGGCTGACATAAATTGTATTAGAATCACAAAGCTTCAGTTTCTTTCCCATGTGTTTAAAGTTTATTATATGTAAACACTAATGTCCAGAACAGAGATACAATGATTCAGCTGCTAGGATAATATGGCATTTGCATGGTAGTAGTGATTAATTTTAAAGATCAAACCCTCATATAGGATGTCAATAATTGTATCTTTTGTCAGGTTATTCTAGAGACGTGTGGGACTGGTTTATATTGCCAGTCTGGCTGCAAATATGCAGACTGATACAATGCTACTCACTTATTCTAGCTGTTACATAGCTCTTTTTTTCATTCTGCAAACTTAAGAGTTATGTAACAACTAGAATAAGTGAGTAGCATTGTATCAGTCTGCATATTTGCAGCCAGACTGGCAATATAAACCAGTCCCACACGTCTCTAGAATAACCTGACAAAAAATACAATTATTG